TGTGGTGTGTTAATGACTGGTGCTGGCGTGTGAGTGGCTGGTGTGGTGTGTTAATGACTGGTGTGTGAGTGGCTGGTGTGGTGTGTTAATGACTGGCGTGTGAGTGGCTGGTGTGGTGTGTTAATGACTGGTGTGTGAGTGGCTGGTGTGGTGTGTTAATGTCTGACGTGTGAGTGGCTGGTGTGGTGTGTTAATGACTGGCGTGTGAGTGGCTGGTGTGGTGTGTTAATGTCTGGCGTGTGAGTGGCTGGTGTGGTGTGTTAATGACTGGTGTGTGAGTGGCTGGTGTGGTGTGTTAATGACTGGTGTGTGAGTGGCTGGTGAGGTGTGTTAATGACTGGTGTGTGAGTGGCTGGTGTGGTGTGTTAATGACTGGTGTGTGAGTGGCTGGTGTGGTGTGTTAATGACTGGCGTGTGAGTGGCTGGTGTGGTGTGTTAATGACTGGCGTGTGAGTGGCTGGTGTGGTGTGTTAATGACTGGTGTGTGAGTGGCTGGTGAGGTGTGTTAATGACTGGTGTGTGAGTGGCTGGTGTGGTGTGTTAATGACTGGCGTGTGAGTGGCTGGTGTGGTGTGTTAATGACTGGTGTGTGAGTGGCTGGTGTGGTGTGTTAAGGACTGGTGTGTGAGTGGCTGGTGTGGTGTGTTAATGACTGGCGTGTGAGTGGCTGGTGTGGTGTGTTAATGACTGGTGTGTGAGTGGCTGGTGTGGTGTGTTAATGACTGGCGTGTGAGTGGCTGGTGTGGTGTGTTAATGACTGGTGTGTGAGTGGCTGGTGTGGTGTGTTAATGTCTGGTGTGTGAGTGGCTGGTGTGGTGCGTTAATGACTGGCGTGTGAGTGGCTGGTGTGGTGTGTTAATGACTGGCGTGTGAGTGGCTGGTGAGGTGTGTTAATGACTGGCGTGTGAGTGGCTGGTGTGGTGTGTTAATGTCTGGCGTGTGAGTGGCTGGTGTGGTGTGTTAATGACTGGTGTGTGAGTGGCTGGTGTGGTGTGTTAATGACTGGTGTGTGAGTGGCTGGTGAGGTGTGTTAATGACTGGCGTGTGAGTGGCTGGTGTGGTGTGTTAATGACTGGTGTGTGAGTGGCTGGTGTGGTGTGTTAATGTCTGACGTGTGAGTGGCTGGTGTGCTGTGTTAATGACTGGCGTGTGAGTGGCTGGTGTGGTGTGTTAATGTCTGGCGTGTGAGTGGCTGGTGTGGTGTGTTAATGACTGGTGTGTGAGTGGCTGGTGTGGTGTGTTAATGACTGGTGTGTGAGTGGCTGGTGAGGTGTGTTAATGACTGGTGTGTGAGTGGCTGGTGTGGTGTGTTAATGACTGGTGTGTGAGTGGCTGGTGTGGTGTGTTAATGACTGGTGTGTAGGTGGCTGGTGTGGTGTGTTAATGACTGGCGTGTGAGTGGCTGGTGTGGTGTGTTAATGACTGGCGTGTGAGTGGCTGGTGTGGTGTGTTAATGACTGGTGTGTGAGTGGCTGGTGTGGTGCGTTAATGACTGGTGTGTGAGTGGCTGGTGTGGTGTGTTAATGACTGGCGTGTGAGTGGCTGGTGAGGTGTGTTAATGTCTGGTGTGTGAGTGGCTGGTGTGGTGTGTTAATGACTGGCGTGTGAGTGGCTGGGGTGGTGTGTTAATGACTGGTGTGTGAGTGGCTGGTGAGGTGTGTTAATGACTGGTGTGTGAGTGGCTGGTGTGGTGCGTTAATGACTGGTGTGTGAGTGGCTGGTGTGGTGTGTTAATGACTGGCGTGTGAGTGGCTGGTGTGGTGTGTTAATGTCTGGTGTGTGAGTGGCTGGTGTGGTGCGTTAATGACTGGCGTGTGAGTGGCTGGTGTGGTGTGTTAATGTCTGGCGTGTGAGTGGCTGGTGAGGTGTGTTAATGACTGGTGCTGGCGTGTGAGTGGCTGGTGTGGTGTGTTAATGTCTGGCGTGTGAGTGGCTGGTGTGGTGTGTTAATGACTGGCGTGTGAGTGGCTGGTGTGGTGTGTTAATGACTGGCGTGTGAGTGGCTGGTGTGGTGTGTTAATGACTGGTGTGTGAGTGGCTGGTGAGGTGTGTTAATGACTGGTGTGTGAGTGGCTGGTGTGGTGTGTTAATGACTGGCGTGTGAGTGGCTGGTGAGGTGCGTTAATGACTGGCGTGTGAGTGGCTGGTGAGGTGCGTTAATGACTGGTGTGTGAGTGGCTGGTGTGGTGTGTTAATGACTGGCGTGTGAGTGGCTGGTGTGGTGTGTTAATGACTGGTGCTGGCGTGTAGTGGCTGGTGTGGTGCGTTAATGACTGGTGCTGGCTTCTGATTGGTCCTTCCCGCTGCAGTGCCAAGATTAACACACGCCCCCCTCCCAGCCAGCCAATAATGAACGAGCCCGCTGTTGCCCTGGCAACGTGGTGTGTGTGTGTGTGTACGAGAAAGTTAGTCTCTGTGTCTACAACCCGCGTTCATTAAACGGCGTTAACCCACCACGTTGTAAACAAACACGTGTTATTATTATTAATATTGGTTAAGTTAACCAGGAGCGGTGGTGGTGGTAAAGCCTCTGAAAGAAAGACCTTGAACCTCATCTGACTTGAGTCAGATAACCAACACGTCCCTCCACGTACGGCGCGAAAGAAGTTCAACACATTCTAGATTTGAAGCTTTCGTGACTGCAAGGATTTCATATTCTTAGGTTTTTTTGGTAAAGTCACGTAGGTAAAAAAAATTAAAATTAATCACTTGATACAGCGAGCGTGCTGTGACGGTTCCACCTGAAACGTCGTGATTTTTATTTTTTTTTATTTTTATTTCATTAATTTTATTTTTTTTACGTGACTTTACCGGAAAAAATAAGAATAAGTTCAACACACACACATTACACACGTGCAGGTACTGCTGCTACTGCTGCTGCTGCTGCGTCTGCGTCGTCTTGTGAACGAGAACCTTTTAGAATCAGAATCTGCATTGATACTGGGGGGAAATCCGATGAGCTGTGAAGCTCTTTGATAGATGTACAGAAAGGGAGCACGTGGTCAGAACGTAACAACAACAATTAAAAAAAATACCACCAAAGGAATGCAAAGTAGAGGAAAGGTAAAACACATCGCTTTGAAAAAAAATGCAAATTAAACTAAAACTTTTTTTTAAATTTTACTGAAATAATTTGCTTCTTTTAATTTTTTTATTTAACTAATTTCGTCTGTTGTATTCTCAAAAAAGAAATCTTGTAACTCTATTTTTACACACTTCCCAATGTGGCATTGACTGCAAACTTGGTATAGCTGTGTCATACTGATGACAACACGATTTTCTATCATAAACAATCCAAGACATATATTGTGAAACTTTTTACACGCTTTTATTGAACTTACTGTGTGTGTGTTGTTGTATCCAAAAATCTTGTCTGGACCTTTTGCAGCTGTTCTAGACTAATTTCAGGGTACCGATTCCAAATCTGATCTCAGATTTGCTCCATCACATCTTATTTTTATGCTATCGGCATACCCCATTTTCATTGATTTTACCCGAAATTAACTCTGTCACTTATCATTGCAGGTTGTTGCGAGTCAGTGACTGCTTTCGTGTTAAAATATGGTGCTGTATTTTTAGGATAGTGTGTTTATAATATAATTTTATGTAGATATCCACATTTATTTAATATTTTTCTTCCGCAGTTTTTATTGAAAATGCAATATTTGATATCTAAAAAAACCTGATTTGATAGACAAAAACTGATGCCAGATTTGGAATCAGCACCCCAAACTTACCTTGAAACCGTTGGAATACCTTATGCCAGAAAAAGTGTGTTGACCAGTGTAATTAGCAATAAATCGGCATTTTGCAACCCCCACTGCCACTGTGTAGCATATTATTACGTGCCAGGGACTCTATGAGATGATAGGACAATAGTCGAAAGAATTTTAACATATGTACAGCCCATAAGATAGGCAACCCCGGTTGAGAAAAAAAACATAGACGCGGTGCTTCTAAAATGTTGCTGCTTGAGTGTAGTGTGGTACGTGTGTGTGTGTCTGTGTGGGTGGGTGGGTGTGTGGGTGTGTGTGTGTGGCTGTGTCGGTGGCTGTGTGTGTGGGTGTGTGTGTGTGGGTGGCTGTGTGGGTGGGTGTGTGGGTGTGGGTGTGTGTGGGTGGGTGTGTGTGGGTGTGTGTGTGTGGCTGTGTGTGTAGCTATGTGGGTGGGTGAGTGTGTGGCTGTGTAGGTGGCTGTGTGTGTGTGTGTGTCCCATAGGACGTTCACATGTTTGTGAGCGCACGCGTGTAGAGGAGCAGGAGTGGTGTGGTTAGTGCACTGGCTGTGTGGGTCGGTGGGTGAGTGTGTGGGTGGCTATGTGTGTGTGTGTGGCTGTGTGGATGGGTGGGTGAGTGTGTGGGTGTGTGGCTGTGTGGGTGAGTGTGTGGGTGTGTGGCTGTGTGGGTGAGTGTGTGGGTGTGTGGGTGTGTGGGTGAGTGTGTGTGTGGCTGTGTGGATGGGTGGGTGAGTGTGTGGGTGTGTGGCTGTGTGGGTGAGTGTGTGGGTGTGTGGATGTGTGGATGGGTGGATGTGTGGGTGAGTGTGTGTGTGGCTGTGTGGATGGGTGGGTGAGTGTGTGGGTGTGTGGCTGTGTGGGTGAGTGTGTGGGTTTGTGGCTGTGTGGGTGAGTGTGTGGGTGCGTGAGCGTGTGAGTGTGTGGATGTGTGGGTGGGTGTGTGATGTGTGGGTGGGTGAGTGTGTGGGTGGCTGTGTGGGTGGGTGGCTGTATGGGTGGGTGGCTGTGTGGGTGAGTGTGTGGATGTGTGGGTGGGTGTGTGTGTGGGTGGGTGAGTGTGTGGCTGTGTGGGTCAGTGTGTGGCTGTGTGTGTGTGTTTGGCTGTGTGTGTGGCTGTGTGAGTGAGTGTGACTGTGTGGGGAGGAGTGGAGGGGGGGATGGGGGCCTTTGTTTGTGTCCCGCAGGAGGTAGTCGCCTGACTATGGCCCCCTATTCGGTGCCCCCCCGCCCCCCAGCTCAGAGGAAGACTGTGACGAGGACTGTGAGGGCCTTTTGTGTGCCACCGTGAGAAGCCGTCTTTCTGACGCGCGTCGCCCGGGGCAACGTGACGTAGAGCAGCACACACGCATACACACTCACCTGTGTGTGTGTGTGCGGCTTCCGACTCGCTCGCACACACGCAGGTACACACTCACACACACACACACAGGTACACACACACACAGGTACACACTCACACAGGTACACACACACTCACCTGTGTGTGTGTGTGTGCGGCTTCCGACTCGCTCGCACACACGCAGGTACACACTCACACACACACACAGGTACACACACACACAGGTACACACTCACACAGGTACACACACACTCACCTGTGTGTGTGTGTGTGTGCGGCTTCCGACTCGCTCGCACACACGCAGGTACACACTCACACACACACACACAGGTACACACACACACAGGTACACACTCACACAGGTACACACACACTCACCTGTGTGTGTGTGTGTGCGGCTTCCGACTCGCTCGCACACACGCAGGTACACACTCACACACACACACAGGTACACACACACACAGGTACACACTCACACAGGTACACACACACTGACCTGTGTGTGTGTGTGTGTGCGGCTTCCGACTCGCTCGCACACACGCAGGTACACACACACACAGGTACACACGCACACACACACAGGTACACACGCACACTCACCTGTGTGTGTGTGTGTGTGCGCGGCTTCCGACTCGCTCGCACACACGCAGGTAACCACACAGGTACTCACTCACAGGTACACACACACAGGTACACACACACACACACTCACCTGTGTGTGTGTGCGGCTTCCGACTCGCTCGCACACACACAGGTAACCACACAAGTACACACTCACAGGTATACACACACACAGGTACACACTCACAGGTATACACACACACAGGTACACACTCACAGGTACACACACACACAGAGACACACAGGTATACACACACACAGGTACACACTCACAGGTACACACACACACAGGTACACACACACGCACAGGTACACACACACTCACACAGGTACACACACACAGGTACACACACAGGTACACACACACACAGGTACACACACACACAGGTACACACACAGGTACACACACAGGTGCACACGCGCACACAGGTGCACACTCACAGGTACACACACACACAGGTACACACACACAGGTACACACACAGGTGCACACGCGCACACAGGTGCACACTCACAGGTACACACACACACAGGTACACACACACAGGTACACACACACACACCCAAAGGTGGCACACACAGGTGCACACACAGGTGCACACACAGGTGCACACACAGGTGCACCACACAGGTGCACACACAGGTGCACGCGCACCGCGCGAGCCCACTAAGACGACCGCCTCTCCCTTGTGCTCTGCAGGTGACGGTGCGCGACCTCCCGCGTAGCACCACCACCGCCACCACAAACACCACCACCACCACCGCCACCACCAACACCACCATGTCCAGGTTCCGCCAGGTGAAGCCGTCTCTGCCCACGCCGGAGCGACCGCCGCCACGGCCACCACCACCACCACCATCGCCGGCATCATCGTCGGCATCATCGGCATCATCGCCGGCCGTGGGGGGGCTGGAGGTGGTGGCGAGCCGCTACGAGGTACAGCGCAGGTTGGGAGCCGGCAGCTTCGGCAGCGTCTACCTGGTGCGGGATCTCAAGGCCGCTGCTGCTGCTGGTGGTAGTGGTGGCGGTGGTGAGGCCATGTGAGTATTGTTACTCTGAGGTTTTATCGGTAAAGTCACGTAGGTGACTCACCTGCTCGCCCGCTCGCCCGCTCACCCGCTCACCCGCTCACTCACTCACCACTCACTCACCCACCACTCACTCACTCACCCACCACTCACTTACTCACTCACCCACCCACCACTCACTCACTCACTCACCCACCACTCACTCTCTCACCCGCTCACTCTCTCACCCGCTCACTCGCTCACCTGCTCACCCACCACTCACTCACTCACTCTCTCACCTGCTCACCCACCACTCACTCACTCTCTCACCTGCTCACTCTCTCACCTGCTCACCCACCACTCACTCACTCTCTCACCTGCTCACTCTCTCACCCGCTCACCCGCTCACCCGCTCACCTGCTCACCCACCCGCTCACCCACTCACCCGCTCACTCACTCACCCAGCGCTCGGTTATTCACTCGCTCGCTCGCACAACGGTCTGCCAAGGCCCCATCATTACGGGCTACCTCCGTGTCCGTGATGCCGCCGCTGCTGCTGCAGGTGTGTGCTGATGCTGCAGGTGTGTGTTGATGCAGGTGTGTGCTGATGCTGCAGGTGTGTGCTGATGCTGCAGGTGTGTGCTGATGCTGCAGGTGTGTGTTGATGCTGCAGGTGTGTGCTGATGCTGCAGGCGTGTGTTGATGCAGGTGTGTGCTGATGCTGCAGGTGTGTGCTGATGCTGCAGGTGTGTGTTGATGCAGGTGTGTGCTGATGCTGCAGGTGTGTGCTGATGCTGCAGGTGTGTGCTGATGCAGGTGTGTGTTGATGCAGGTGTGTGGTGATGCTGCAGGTGTGTGCTGATGCAGGTGTGTGTTGATGCAGGTGTGTGCTGATGCTGCAGGTGTGTGCTGATGCTGCAGGTGTGTGCTGATGCTGCAGGTGTGTGCTGATGCTGCAGGTGTGTGCTGATGCTGCAGGCGTGTGTTGATGCAGGCGTGTGCTGATGCTGCAGGTGTGTGCTGATGCTGCAGGTGTGTGTTGATGCAGGTGTGTGCTGATGCTGCAGGTGTGTGCTGATGCTGCAGGTGTGTGCTGATGCAGGTGTGTGTTGATGCAGGTGTGTGCTGATGCTGCAGGCGTCTGCTGATGCAGGTGTGTGTTGATGCAGGTGTGTGCTGATGCTGCAGGTGTGTGCTGATGCTGCAGGTGTGTGTTGATGCAGGTGTGTGCTGATGCTGCAGGTGTGTGCTGATGCTGCAGGTGTGTGCTGATGCTGCAGGTGTGTGCTGATGCTGCAGGCGTGTGTTGATGCAGGTGTGTGCTGATGCTGCAGGTGTGTGCTGATGCTGCAGGTGTGTGCTGATGCTGCAGGCGTGTGCTGATGCAGGTGTGTGTTGATGCAGGTGTGTGCTGATGCTGCAGGTGTGTGCTGATGCTGCAGGTGTGTGCTGATGCTGCAGGCGTGTGTTGATGCAGGTGTGTGCTAATGCTGCAGGTGTGTGCTGATGCTGCAGGTGTGTGCTGCTGCTGCAGGTGTGTGTTGATGCAGGTGTGTGCTGATGCTGCAGGTGTGTGCTGCTGCTGCAGGCGTGTGTTGATGCAGGTGTGTGCGTGCTGATGCTGCAGGCGTGTGCTGATGCAGGTGTGTGTTGATGCAGGTGTGTGCTGATTCTGCAGGTGTGTGCTGATGCTGCAGGTGTGTGCTGATGCTGCAGGTGTGTGTTGATGCAGGTGTGTGCTGATGCTGCAGGCGTGTGTTGATGCAGGTGTGTGCTGATGCTGCAGGTGTGTGTTGATGCAGGTGTGTGCTGATGCTGCAGGCGTGTGCAGATGCAGGTGTGTGTTGATGCAGGTGTGTGCTGATTCTGCAGGTGTGTGCTGATGCTGCAGGTGTGTGCTGATGCTGCAGGTGTGTGTTGATGCAGGTGTGTGCTGATGCTGCAGGTGTGTGCTGATGCTGCAGGTGTGTGCTGAAGCAGGTGTGTGCTGAAGCAGGTGTGTGCTGATGCTGCAGGTGTGTGCTGAAGCAGGTGTGTGCTGAAGCAGGTGTGTGCTGATGCAGGTGTGTGCTGAAGCAGGTGTGTGCTGAAGCAGGTGTGTGCTGATGAGGTTGCTGAAGCAGGTGGTGTGCTGAAGCAGGTGTGTGCTGAGCAGGTGTGTTCTGATGCAGGTGTGTGCTGATGCTACAGGTGTGTGCTGAAGCAGGTGTGTGCTGAAGCAGGTGTGCTGAAGCAGGTGTGTGCTGATGCTGCAGGTGTGTGCTGATGCTGCAGGGTGTGTTGATGCAGGTGTGTGCTGATGCAGGTGTGTGCTGATGCATGTGTGTGCTGATGCTGCAGGTGTGTGCTGAAGCAGGTGTGTGCTGATGCTGCAGGTGTGTGCTGATGCTGCAGGTGTGTGCTGAAGCAGGTGTGTGCTGATGCAGGTGTGTGTTGATGCAGGTGTGTGCTGATGCAGGTGTGTGCTGATGCAGGTGTGTGCTGATGCAGGTGTGTTATGATGCTGCAGGTGTGTGCTGAAGCAGGTGTGTGCTGATGCAGGTGTGTGCTAAAGCAGGTGTGTGCTGATGCAGGTGTGTGCTGATGCAGGTGTGTGCTGAAGGCGGTGTGTGCTGATGCAGGTGTGTGCTGATGCAGGTATGTGCTGATGCTGCAGGTGTGTGCTGAAGCAGGTGTGTGCTGAAGCAGGTGTGTGCTGATGCAGGTGTGTGCTGATGCTGCAGGTGTGTGCTGAAGCAGATGTGTGCTAAAGCAGGTGTGTGCTGAAGCAGGTGTGTGCTGAAGCAGGTGTGTGCTGATGCAGGTGTGTGCTGAAGACGGTATGTGCTGCTGCTGATGCTCCAGGTGTGTGCTGCTGCTGCTGATGCAGGTGTGATGAAGACGGTGTGTGCTGCTGCTGCAGGTGTGCTGCTGCTGCTGAAGACGGCGTATGCTGCTGCTGCTGATGCTCCAGGTGTGTGCTGCTGCTGCAGGTGTGTGCTGAATACGGTGTGTGCTGCAGCTGCTGATGCAGGTGTGTGCTGCTGCTGAAGCAGGTGTGGGCTGAAGACGATGTGTGCTGCGGCTGCAGGTGTGCTGATGCAGGTGTGTGCTGCTGCTGCTGCTGCAGGTTTGTGCTGCTGATGCAGGTGTGCTGCTGCTGCTGATGCAGGTGTGTGCTGAAGACGGTGTGTGCTGCTGCAGGTGTGTGCTGAAGACGGTGTGTGCTGATGCAGGTGTGTGTTGAAGACGGTGTGTGCTGAAGCAGGTGTGTGTTGAAGACGGTGTGTGCTGAAGCAGGTGTGTGCTGAAGACGGTGTGTGCTGATGCAGGTGTGTGTTGAAGACGGTGTGTGCTGATGCAGGTGTGTGTTGAAGACGGTGTGTGCTGAAGCAGGTGTGTGCTGCTGCAGGTGTGTGCTGAAGACGGTGCCCGTCGGGGAGCTGCGTGCGGACGAGACGGTGCACGCGCACACCGAGGCGCGGCTGCTGGCGCGCCTGCGCCACCCTTGCATCGTGCGTCTCCACGCCAGCTTCCTGGAGCGCGACCTGCTGTGCATCGTCACCGAGCTGTGCGAGGTGACGGAGCGGTGGTGGTGGTGGTGATGGTGTCGATGGTGATGGTGCCGATGGAAGTGATGATGATGATGGAGGTGATGATGATGATGATGATGGAGGTGATGATGATATTGATGATGACGATATTGATGATGACGATATTGATGATGACGATATTGATGATGACGATATTGATGATGACGATGATGATGGTGCCGATGATGGCGATGGAGGTGATGATGATGATGGTGCCGATGGTGACGATGGAGGTGATGGTGATGATGGTGCCGATGATGATGATGGAGGTGATGATAGTGATGGTGCCGATGATGACGATGGAGTGATGATGATGGTGCCGATGGTGATTATGGAGGTGATGGTGATGATGGTGCCGATGATGATGATGGAGGTGATGATGGTGATGATGGTGCCGATGGTGATGATGGAGGTGATGGTGATGATGGTGCCGATGGTGACGATGGAGTGATGATGATGATGGTGCCGATGATGATGGAGGTGATGATGATGGTGCCGATGATGATGATGATGATGGTGCCGATGGTGATGATGGAGGTGATGATGATGATGGTGCCGATGGTGATGATGGAGGTGATGATGATGATGATGATGGTGCCGATGATGATGGTGCCGATGATGATGATGATGGTGCCGATGATGATGGTGCCGATGGTGACGATGGAGGTGATGGTGATGATGATGCTGAGTGTGATAACGAAGGTGATGATGATGACGATGTTGAGGATGATGATGGTGACGATGTTGATGATGACGATGATGTTGACGATGATGTTGACGATAACGATGTTGACGATGATGTTGACGATGATGTTGACGATAACGATGTTGACGATGATGTTGACGACGAAGATGTTTCTGGCGGCGTGTGCACAGGGTGGAGACCTGGACGCGAGGCTGGAGCGGTGTCGCTCCAGTCGAGGAGGGGCAGGAGAAGCGCTCCCCTGCGACCTGCTGCTCGACTGGCTGCTGCAGCTGCTGTTCGGGGTGCACTACATGCACAGCAGGCAGGCGCAGAGATAGCATCACCACCACCAATAGCAGCACCACCAACAGCATCACCACCAACAGCATCACCACCAACACCACCAACACCACCAACAGCATCACCACCAACAGCATCACCACCAACACCACCAACACCACCAACAGCATCACCACCAACAGCATCACCACCATCACCACCAATAGCATCACCACCATCACCACCAACAGCATCACCACCAACAGCATCACCACCAACAGCATCACCACCATCACCACCATCACCACCAACAGCATCACCACCAACAGCATCACCACCAACAGCATCACCACCAACACCACCAACACCACCAACAGCATCACCACCAACAGCATCACCACCATCACCACCAATAGCATCACCACCATCACCACCAACAGCATCACCACCAACAGCATCACCACCAACAGCATCACCACCATCACCACCAACAGCATCACCACCAACAGCATCACCACCAACAGCATCACCACCATCAGCATCACCACCAACAGCATCACCACCAACAGCATCACCACCAACAGCATCACCACCAACAGCATCACCACCAACAGCATCACCACCAACAGCATCACCACCAACAGCATCACCACCAACAGCACCACCACCAACAGCATCACCGCCAACAGCATCACCACAAATAGCATCACCAACAGCATCACCACCAACACCATCACCACCATCAGCATCACCACCAACAGCATCACCACCAACAGCATCACCACCAACAGCACCACCACCAACAGCATCACCACCAACAGCATCACCACCAACAGCATCACCACCAACAGCATCACTACCAACAGCATCACCACCAACAGCATCACCACCAACAGCATCACCACCAACAGCATCACCACCAACAGCATCACCACCAACAGCATCACCACCAACAGCATCACCACCAACAGCATCACCACCAATAGCATCACCACCAATAGCATCACCACCAATAGCATCACCACCAACAGCATCACCACCAACAGCATCACCACCAACAGCATCACCACCAACAGCATCACCACCAACAGCATCACCACCAATAGCATCACCACTAATAGCATCACCACCAACAGCATCACCACCAACAGCATCACCACCAATAGCATCACCACCAACAGCATCACTACCAACAGCATCACCACCAACAGCATCACCACCATCAGCATCACCACCAACAGCATCACCACCAATAGCATCACCACCAACAGCATCACTACCAACAGCATCACCACCAACAGCATCACCACCAATAGCATCACCACCAACAGCATCACTACCAACAGCATCACCACCAACAGCATCACTACCAACAGCATCACCACCAACAGCATCACTACCAACAGCATCACCACCAACAGCATCACTACCAACAGCATCACCACCAATAGCATCACCACCAATAGCATCACCGCTATCATCAGAACAGACGTCTGTGCGCCGTGTAGTAGAAGGACCAGTGCCCTCACTGGTGGCGATGAGATGTTAACTACCTCGCCTGATGTACAGGAGGTCGTGGGTTTGATCCAAATCGATGAATATGGGCTTCAGTGGGTCTCTATGAATCTCGATGGGTCTCTGTGGGTCTCTATGAGTCTCTATGGGTCTCTGTGGGTCTCTATGAGTCTCGATGGGTTTCTGTGGGTCTCTATGAGCCTCGATGGGTCTCTGTGGGTCTCTATGAGTCTCGATGGGTCTCTGTGGGTGTCTATGAGTCTCGATGGGTCTCTGTGGGTCTATGAGTCTCGATGGGTTTCTGTGGGTGTCTATGAGTCTCGATGGGTCTCTGTGGGTCTCTATGAGTCTCGATGGGTCTCTGTGGGTCTCCATGAGTCTCGATGGGTTTCTGTGGGTCTCTATGAGTCTCGATGGGTCTCTGTGGGTCTCTATGAGTCTCGATGGGTTTCAGTGGGTCTCTATGAGTCTCGATGGGTCTCTGTGGGTCTCTATGAGTCTCGATGGGTCTCTGTGGGTCTCTATGGTTGAGCTATAATTGTTGATAGTCAGGTCGCTTCTAAATTTAAGAGCTACGGCCTTGCTTGCTCAAAAAAAAATAGTTTAGTTTTAGTTGAGCAGATGTTTGGTATTTGAGTTCCTCTTCAGAACGGCGCGACTAACAGACTCATCGTGCCTGCTGCTGCTGCGGTACTACTGCTTCTACATGCTGATACTGATGCTGCTACTGCTGCGTACTGCTACTGCTTCTTGGTGCTACTGATACTACTGCTGCTGCTGCTACTACTGCTGCTGCGGTACTGCTGCTGTTGCTTCTACGTGCTGCCTGCTGCTGCTACTGCTGCTTCTTGGTGCTACTGCTACTGCTGCTACTACTGCTTCGTGCAACTTATACTGCTGCTACTACTGCTGCTACTGCTACTTCTTGGTGCTACTGCTACTACTGCTGCATGCTGCTGCGTACTGCTGCTGCTGCTACTACCGCCTGCTATTACTCCTGCTACTACTACCGCCTGCTGCTATTACTCCTGCTGCTGCTACTACCGCCTGCTGCTATTACTCCTGCTGCTGCTATTACCGCCTGCTGCTATTACTCCTGCTGCTGCTGTTGCTGCTGTTGCTGCTACTACCGCCTGCTGCTATTACTCCTGCTGCTGCTACCGCCTGCTGCTATTACTCCTGCTGCTGCTACTGCTGCTGCTACTGCTGTTGCTGCTACTACCGCCTGCTGCTATTACTCCTGCTGCTGCTATTACTCCTGCTGCTGCTACTGCTGTTGCTGCTACTACCGCCTGCTACTACTGCTGCTGTTGCTGCTACTACCGCCTGCTGCTATTACTCCTGCTGCTGCTACTGCTGCTATTACTCCTGCTGCTGCTACTGCTGCTGCTACTGCTGTTGCTGCTACTACCGCCTGCTGCTGCTGCTGCTGCCCCCACAGCTGCATCATCCATCGCGACCTCAAGACCAAGAACATCTTCCTGAGCAGGAACGACGTCATCAAGATTGGTGAGCGGCTGACTCACATAGAGACCCATAGACTCACACAGAGACCCGTAGACTCACACAGAGACCCACAGACTCACACAGAGACACACAGACTCACACAGAGACCCATAGACTCACATAGAGACCCATAGACTCACACAGAGACCCATAGACTCACACAGAGACCCGTAGACTCACACAGAGACCCATAGACTCACACAGAGACCCATAGACTCACACAGAGACCCACAGACTCACACAGAGACCCACAGACTCACACAGAGACCCATAGACTCACATAGAGACCCATAGACTCACACAGAGACCCATAGACTCACACAGAGACCCACAGACTCACACAGAGACCCACAGACTCACACAGAGACCCACAGACTCACACAGAGACCCGTAGACTCACACAGAGACCCATAGACTCACACAGAGACCCATAGACTCACACAGAGACCCACAGACTCACACAGAGACCCATAGACTCACACAGAGACCCACAGACTCACACAGAGACCCATAGACTCACACAGAGACCCATAGACTCACACAGAGACCCACAGACTCACACAGAGACCCATAGACTCACGCAGAGACCCATAGACACACGCAGAGACCCATAGACTCACACAGAGACCCATAGACTCACACAGAGACCCATAGACTCACATAGAGACCCATAGACTCACACAGAGACCCGTAGACTCACACAGAGACCGATAGACTCACACAGAGACCCACAGACTCACACAGAGACCCATAGACTCACGCAGAGACCCATAGACTCACGCAGAGACCCATAGACTCACACAGAGACCCATAGACTCACGCAGAGACCCATAGACTCACACAGAGACCCATAGACTCACACAGAGACCCATAGACTCACACAGAGACCCATAGACTCACACAGAGACCCATAGACTCACACAGAGACCCATAGACTTACACGGAAACCCATAGACTCACACAGAGACCCATAGACTCACACAGAGACCCATAGACTCACACAGAGACCCACAGACTCACACAGAGACCCATAGACTCACACAGAGACCCATAGACTCAGAAGAGACCCATAGACTTACATGGAGACCCATAGACTCACACAGAGACCCATAGACTCACACAGAGACCCATAGACTCACACAGAGACCCATAGACTCGCACAGAGACCCATAGACTCACACAGAGACCCATAGACTCACACAGAGACCCATAGACTTACATGGAGACCCATATACATGTCATTGTTGTCGTTGTTGTTGTCGTCATTGTTGTTGTTGTCATTGACCCTGTTGTTGTTGTTGTCATTGTCGTCGTCATTGTTGTTGTCATTGTTGTTGTCGTCGTCGTTGTTGTCGTTGTTGTCATTGTTGTCATTGTTGTTGTCGTTGTTATTGTTGTTGTCATTGTTGTTGTCGTTGTTGTTATCATTGTCATTGTTGTTGTTGTCACCGTTGTTGTTGTTGTCATTGTTGTTGTCGTTGTTGCCATCATCGTTGTTGTTGTCATTGTTGTTGTTGTCATTGTTGTCGTCGTTGTTGTCGTCACCGTTGTTGTTGTCATCGTTGTTGTTGTTGTTGTTGTGGTGCCGTGCCCCCCCCCCCCCCCCCCCGCGTGCAGGAGACTTTGGGGTGTCTCGTCTGCTGCAGGCCCCGGCCGACATGGCCTCCACGTTCACGGGCACGCCGCTCTACATGAGCCCCGAGGTGCTGCAGCTGCACGCCTACGGGGCCAAGGCCGACGTCTGGTGAGCTCACCCGCTCACCACCACCACATCATCAACCACCAGCGCACCTCATCACCCACCACCACCAACACCACATCACCCACCACCACCACATCTCATCACCCAGCCCACCACCACCACACCTTCATCACCCACCACCACCACACCTTCATCACCCACCACTACACCTCATCACCCACCACCACCACTACATCTCATCACCCACCACCACTACCGCACCACATCACCCACCACCACCCCACCTTCATCACCCACCACTACACCTCATCACCCACCACCACCAACACCACATCACCCACCACCACCACTACATCTCATCACCCACCACCACCACCACACCTCATCACCCACCACCACCACACCTTCATCACCCACCACCACCACACCTCATCACCCACCACCACCACACCTCATCACCCACCACCACCGCACCTCATCACCCACCACTACACCTCATCACCCACCACCACCAACACCACATCACCCACCACCACCACTACATCTCATCACCCACCACCACCACCTCACCTTCATCACCCACCACCACCACCACACCTCATCACCCACCACCACCACCACACCACATCACCCACCACCACCACACCTTCATCACCCACCACTACACCTCATCACCCACCACCACCAACACCACATCACCCACCACCACCACACCTTCATCACCCACCACTACACCTCATCACCCACCACCACCAACACCACATCACCCACCACCACCACTACATCTCATCACCCACCACCACCACCACACCTCATCACCCACCACCACCACCACACCACATCACCCACCACCACCACACCTTCATCACCCACCACTACACCTCATCACCCACCACCACCACCACCACACCTCACCACCACCACCACCACACCTCACCAACCCCCGGTTAGCACGGTTGGCTCCGTACGGCGTGAAGGAAGTTCACTACCGGCACCTCCGAAACCTCGCCAGCCACACCAGCACCCACCACTACTGCCGCTCAGCTGTGAACTTGACCCCCCCCGACCCCTCCCCCCCTGCCCCCCCTGCCCCCCCTGCCCCCTCCCCCCCTGCCCCCCCTGCCCCCCTCCCCCCCTGACCCCTCCCCCCCTGCCCCCCTGCCCCCCCTCCCCCCCCTGCCCCCGCCCCCCCTCCCCCCCCTGCCCCCGCCCTCCCCCCAGGGCCGTGGGATGCGTGCTGTACGAGATGTGCGCCCTGCGCCCGGCGTTTGCCGCCTCCACGTGGGTGCAGATCCTGCGGCGCATCCTGGAGGAGCCGGCGCCAGCCCTGCCGCCCGGCTTCCCACCCGCTCTCAACACCATCCTGCAGAGGTGGGGGGTGGGGGTGGGGGGTGGGGGTGGGAGGGGGGTGAGGGGGGTGGGAGGGGGGTGGGGGTAAGGGGGGGTGGGGGGGAAGATCCTCCCCCCTCCCCCACCGCCATCGTCATCATCACCATTGTCATAATCATCACCAGCACTGCCACCATCATCATCACCATTGTCATAATACCATTGTCATAATCACCATCATCATCAGCACTATCACCATCATCATCATCATCAGCACTGTCATCATCACCGTTGTCATAATCACCATCATCATCACTGTCACCATCATCATCACCATTGTCATAATCACCATTGTCATAATCACCATCATCAGCACTGCCACCATCATCATCACCGTTGTCATAATCACCATTGTCACCATCATCAACTCCCTCTCGTCATCATCATCATCAGCACTGCCACCATCATCATCACCGTTGTCATAATCACCATTGTCACCATCATCAACTCCCTCTCGTCATCATCATCATCAGCACTGTCACCATCATCAGCTCCCCATCACTAACGTCAACTCACCGAGAGGTCCTTTCTGCTACAGCCCCCAAGCAACCCCCCCCCCCCCGACGAACAGCACTTGCCCCAACGGTCCACGGAGGCTACACGGGGGACCTTTGTCTGCGTGCACGTTGCGTGCAGGATGCTCAGCAAGGAGACGTCCGTTCGCCCTTCGGCAGAGGAGCTGCTGCACGAGCCGTTCATACAGCAGCGGATACAGGTGGCTACACCCTGAGCCCCCCCCCCCCCACAGATTAACCCCCCGGCCCCCCCCCCTGCCTCCCCTCGCCCCCTCGACCCCTCGTCCCCCTTGACCCCTCCTCCCCCCTCTCCCCCTTGACCCCTTGACCCCTCGCCCCCCCTGCCCCCTCTCCTCTTTGACCCCTCCTCCCCCCTCTCCCCCTCTGACCCCTTGACCCCTCGCCCCCTTGACCCCTCCTCCCCCCTCTCCCCCTCTGCCCCCTCCTCCCCCCTCTCCCCTTTCCCCCTCTGACCCCTCGACCCCTTGACCCCCTCTGACCCCTCGACCCCTTCCCCCCTTGTCCTCCCGTCCCCTCACCCCCCCACCCCCCCGCCCCCCTGCCCCCTCGTCCACTCCTCCTGACCGCTTGTGCCTGGGTTCAGTCCCCCTCTCTGCCCCCCCCACTCCACCCCCCCTGACCCCCCCTGACCCCCCCTGACCCCCACCTCTGCCACAGAGTTCCCTCTCCCGGCTGGAGGAGCAGCTGGGAGCTGAGAGGAGACAGAGCGGAGTGGAGCAGCAGGAAGAGACGTCCCAAGTGCCGTGAGTTGGTGTGGGCCCTGTGAGCACTCAACCACTCACACTCACTCATACTCACTCACACTCACCCACACACACTCACACTCAACCACTCACACTCACTCACACACTCACACAGCCACACTCACCCATATACTCACCCACACTCACCCACACACTCACCCACACACACTCACCCACACACACTCACTCACACTCACTCACACTTACACTCACCCATATACTCACACTCACTTACACTCACCCACACCTAGGAGAGGCCCAGGACCGGTTCACATAATCGTAACTGGGTGTTGGCCGTGAGCGGGAATCGAACTCGGTTCGCCGCCGGGTTCATAGCTCAGCGCGCTAACCGCTGCACCACCGCTCCCCACTACCGCTCTACACACAGAGCCACACAGACACGCACCCACACAAGCACACACACCTGCCCCCCCCCCCCTGGGAGAATGATAAACAAACACGTGGACAAACCGCACTGCCGGGTGATTGCTTCCCCCACCGTTCCGTTCCCCATCACTGTGCACGTGAGGGTCTCAGCGCTGGGAGCCGAGAGGAGGGGAGATTGGGGGGGGGGGGGGAGATTTGGGGGGGTGGGGGATTAGAGGGCAACCCGATTGATTGCCCACCTTGGTTCATTTCAACCCTCCCGCCCTCCCGAATGCCATCAGACACGGCGGCGGCATGCCTCGGCTGGCGTGTGACCATGGCACCCGTTGGCTTAGCTGGCCGTGATTGTGTGTGTGTGTGTGCACGTGTGTGTGTGTGTGCACATGCCTGTGTGTGTGTGTGTGCGCGTGTGTACACATGCCTGTGTGTGTGTGTGTGTCCACACATGCCTGTGTGCGTGTGTGTGTGTCTACACATGCCTGTGTGCGTGTGTGTGTGTCTACATATGCCTGTGTGCGTGTGTGTACACATGCCTGTGTGCGTGTGTGTACACATGCCTGTGTGCGTGTGTGTACACATGGCTCTGTGCGTGTGTGCGCGTGTGTGTGTGTACACATGCCTGTGTGCGTGTGTGTCTACACATGCCTGTGTGCGCGTGTGTGTGTGTACACATGCCTGTGTGCGTGTGTGTGTACACATGCCTGTGTGTGTGTGTCTACACATGCCTGTGTGCGCGTGTGTGTATGTACACATGCCTGTGTGTACGTGTGTGTGTGTGTCTACACATGCCTGTGTGTGTGTAGGGTACGGGTAGCCGTTCCCTACCCGTACCTTACACGAAATGAGTGACAAACGGTTACTCACCAGTGACTCACGGTCTACCCCGGCTACCCGTACCCTGGCCGGGTACGGGTAGCCGGGTATCGGGTAGGGTACGGGTATCGGGTACCCGGTTGCGACCTCTGTCGCTAACAGCGTTCGCCCCAACAAATCTGATAACGCTACACGGGGGGGGGGATCTTCGTCTCTGTGCGTGCGCGTTGCAGGCAGCGCAAGGTTCACCTGGAGACGCTGCGAGCGTGCGCACAGGTGCGCGCCATGACCCCGCGGGAGAGGATGCGGATACGCAAGCTCCAGACAGCCGACCTCCACGCAAGAAAGCTGCAGTGAGGGACACAGACCAAGATCATCCACCCCCCCCCCCCCCACGCGTCTCCCCGGTGCTTGGTGGTCAGACAGCGCCGCTGGGTGCTCATTTCAGGCTGAGTCGACCTAGGCGACACCCGTGACTGGTTTCAGATGCTCGTTGTCGATTGTTTTCCGTGAGCGGGAATCGAACTCGGGTCGCCGGGTTTCGTAACGGCAGCGCGCTGACGGACAAAGACAAAGATCCCCCGTGTAGCCTTAGCAGACTAGCGGGGCAAGTGCCGTTAGCGAGTAGCAGCTGTGCAGGCCGGCACGGCACAGGAGGGAGTGGGTGGCCAGCACCACGCCCGGCCGCCTTTGTCTCCCCAGTAGCGATGTTTACTGCACACCGCACCGGGTACGCGATGTTGACCTTGAGCAGGAATCGAATTCGGGTCATCAGGTTCATGGCCCAGTGCGCTAACCGCTACGCCACCGCTCCCCACAACAATAACCGCCATTCGCCACTAAGTGGCGGTGACGTCACCACGAACGCTTGTGCCAGGCCATGTGCACCTTGAGGCCACGTGACACACACACAGTGGCACCCACAGTGACACTCATAGTGACACACACAGTGACACACACACAGTGACACACACAGTGACAACAACAACCGCAATTCGCCACTAAGTGGCGGTGACGTCACCACGACGCTTGTGCCAGGCCATGTGCACCTTGAGGCCACGTGAAGTGTCGAACGCCTGCTGGCAGGAGGTCACGGAGCAGACCCAGCAGGTGCCATGGGTCGACTGACTGAGATGACCGAGATGAGTGACTGATGCACCACCTGTGCCCCCTACTGTGGCAACTTGCTGTGCTTTAGCCACCTGGCGCTCCGCTCGTTGTTGTCCCCACAACAGACACACACACGCGCACAAAGACAAAGGTCTCCCGTATAGCCTCTAACAGGAGTACTGTTCGCAAGTCCAGTATGTGGGCAACTCAACTCAAAGTGGATCATTTCCCGCACCTCCGATTGGCACGGTTGGCTACGCGTGGTGCGAAAGGAGTTCAACGTAGGCACATAAGATTGACAAGATATACAAACGCAGACATCACTTCAACCGTGATGATGGGTACAAACTGAGTAATCATTGGAAAGATGTTATTAAAAAAATTTAAACATTTATTTGACAGGTACTTTATTTATACTTTACCGAGTGTTGACATCCCCAGCGTTTAACACCTACTGCCTTTTTGTATTTGGATTCTCAACCAACACCGGTATAGGTCGAGGTACACCGATTGTTTCTCTTGCACATGACGACGTTGACCAATTTCTCTTGTAGCCCCTCCCCCCCCCTTAACTTGTATTTAAGGCAGAGGTCGCAACCGGGTACCCGATACCCGTACCCTACCCGATACCCGGCTACCCGTACCCGGCCGGGTACGGGTACGGGTACCCGTCTCTGACCCTGGTGCGGCCTGGTACGGGTAGGCCATGAGTCACTGGTGAGTCACCGTTTGTCACTCATTTCCCAACGTCTTGTGTCTCTTCTCACAATTCAAGTTCCTAGAATCAACCCACCCGCGCCTGCAACATGTCTTCATCCCAGAGGTCGCAATCAGGTACCCGATACCCGTACCCTACCCGTACCCAGCCAAGTACGGGTACCCGTTTGTGACCCTGGTGCGGCCGGGTACGGGTACGGGTAAGAATTCTAAACACGTTGGCGACCTCTGATTTAAGGGCTTGTCTCTTGGAATGTTGCTTCACTTGACGCAGTAATTTTAGCTGTGACTGTCCCACCTGATGATGGAGACTTGTGTTGCCTCCGAAACGTCGTGAGTTTTATTATTTTATTTCTATTATTATTTATATTAATTTCATTTGTCACCCACGTGACTTTACCGAAAAAACCTAAGAGTAGGCACATAAAGACTCAAGGACTTACACAGAAACCCACAGACTCATCACGCAGAGACCCGTGGACTCGCGCGCCGCGTCAAATGCTCTTCTGCGGCCGTCTGGAATGTTCCTCCGACCCATATTGGGAAGCCGCTGGAAGCTGTGCGCTGTTATCTGAACCGGTCCTGGGCCTCCCCTAGGCCGACTCAGCCTCAAATGAGTGCCTGGTTCGGTGTGTAGTAAACATCGCGACTGGGGAGACAAAGTCCAGCCTGCTGGTCAAACCCAGGATGGATCGTGGGTGCCACACACAGTGACACGTGCATTGACACCCATAGGGCAAGTTGGTACGCTGGTGTATGTGTGTCACTGTGTGTGTCACTGTGTGTGTGTCACTGTGTGTGTGTGTCTCTGTGTATCTCTTGTGTGTATCTCTGTGTGTCTCTGTGTGTCTCTCTGTGTGTGTGTATCTCTGTGTGTGTCTCTGTGTGTCTCTGTGTGTGTGTATCTCTGTGTGTCTCTGTGTGTCTCTGTGTGTCTCTGTGTGTCCAGGGAGGTGGCTGAGGACCACCGACTCAACAACCTGCGGCAGCGAAACATCAACCGCTTGCGCAACACGGCCAACCACCTGACAGCGCTCATGGTGGGGGGAACAATCACACAAACAAAAACAAAGATCCCCCGTGTAGCCTTGACAGACTGTAGGGGCAAGTGCTGTTAGCGAGCACCTATGATGGCGGGAATGGTACACGAGGGGGTGGGTGACCACAGCACCACGCCCGGCCGCCTTTGTCTCCCCAGTGGCGATGTTTACACCACGTACTCATTTCAGGCTAAGACGATCTAGGGGAGGCCCAGGACCGGTTCAGATAATCGTCACTGGCAGTGTTGGCCATGAGTGGGAATCGAACGCGGGTCGCCAGGTTCATAGCGCAGCGTAGCGCTAACCGCTACACTATCGCACAGGCACACACACATGCACACACACACACAGGCACACACAGAAACGCACGCACACACAGGCACACACAGGCACACACACTCACACACACGCACACACACGCACACACAGGCACGCACGCACACACACATGCACACGCACACTCACACACACACAGACACGTGGACTCAAAATCCAGGTGACGCCACCTCGCCCGTATCTCTCTCTCCAGAACATCGACGAAGCCGCCACGGCGGCAGAGGAGGAGGAGTTGGAATCGCTCCAGCGCTCAGACAGGAGGAGCGCCGGGACGGAGGGACACGTGGGCCCCAAGACGGAGGGTCACGTGGGCCCCGGGATGGAGGGACACGTGGTCCCCAAGACGGAGGGTCACGTGGGCCCCAAGACGGAGGGTCACGTGGGCCCCGGGGCCGGCAGGAACTCGGGCCTGGCCGTGCGTGACGGACAGGGCTACGGTGAGAGGCTGGCGGTGGGGACATCTCTACCCCCCCCCCATCTCTACCACCCCCCCCATCTCTACCACCCCCCCCTCATCTCTACCACCCCCCCCCTCTCTACCACCCCCCCCTCTCTACCACCCCCCCCCCCTCTCTACCACCCCCCCCATCTCTACCACCCCCCCCATCTCTACCCCCCCTCCCATCTCTACCACCCCTCCCATCTCTACCACCCCCCCCATCTCTACCACCCCCCATCTCTAACACCCCCATCTCTGCCACCCCCCCATCTCTACCACCCCCCCATCTCTACCACCCCCCCATCTCTATCTACCCCCCCCATCTCTACCACCCCCCATCTCTACCCCCCCCATCTCTACCACCCCCCCATCTCTACCCACCCCCCCCTCATCTCTACACCCCCCCCCATCTCTACCACCACCCCCCATCTCTACCCCCCCCCCATCACTACCCCCCCCCGAATCTCTGCCACCCCCCCCCCCATCTCTACCCCCCCATCCTACCACCCCCCCCCCCCCCCATCTCTACCACCCACCCCATCTCTACCACCCCCCCATCTCTACCACCCCCCCATCTCTACCACCCCCCCATCTCTACCACCCCCCCATCTCTACCACCCCCCCATCTCTACCACCCCCCCATCACTACCACCCCCCCCTCTCTACCACCCCCCCATCTCTACCACCCCCCCCTCATCTCTACACACCCCCCCTACTCTACCACCCCCCCCCCTCTACCTCTACCACCCCCCATCTCTACCCACCCCCCATCACTACCCCCCCCGAATCTCTGCCACCCCCCCCCATCTCTACCCCCCCCCATCACTACCACCCCCCCCATCTCTACCACCCCCCCATCTCTACCACCCCCCCCCATCTCTACCACCCACCCCCATCTCTGGCCCCCCCCCCATCACTACCACCCCCCCCCATCTCTAAACCACCCCCCCCCATCACTACCACCCCCCCCATCTCTACCACCCCCCCATCACTACCACCCCCCCCCCATCTCTGCCCCCCCCCCCATCACTACCACCCCCCCCCCATCTCTACCACCCCCCCCCATCTCTACCACCCCCCCCCATCACTACCACCCCCCCATCTCTAACCACCCCCCATCTCTACCACCCCCCATCTCTACCACCCCCCCCATCTCTACCACCCCCCCATCTCTACCACCCCCCATCTCTACCACCCCCCCATCTCTACCACCCCCCATCACTACCACCCCCCCATCTCTACCACCCCCCCCATCTCTACCACCCCCCCATCTCTGCCACCCCCCCATCTGCCCCCCCCCCATCTCTACCACCCCCCCCCCCCATCTCTACATCTCTACCCCCCCCAATCTCTGCCCCCCCCCCGTGCCAGGGGTGATGGTGCAGGGGTGAAGGTGACACCCGAAGCGACTCTAAATGGGGGGCCACAACAATCGGCTGAAACATATCACGGCCCGAATTGCTATTCCTGGAGCGATGATTGCGCTGAGCGGGTGAATTCATTTCTGCGCTGTCCTTGTATCATCTGCACATCGAACACCGATGGGACTGCGATCCAGATCCTCCAAGGATCCTTGAACTCCTCACAGATCCTTCAAGGATCCGTGAACTCCTCACACAATGCAGCCTGGTTAGAGCCATGATGCATTGTGTGAGGAGTTCACAGATCCTTCAAGGATCCGTGAACTCCTCACACAATGCAGCCTGGTTAGAGCCATGATGCATTGTGTGAGGAGTTCACAGATCCTTCAAGGATACGTGAATCCTCACACAATGCAGCCTGGTTAGAAACAGCCTGGTTAGAAACACTCTCACACAGAGCCAGCATGCATTGTGTGAGGAGTTCACCGATCCTCCAAGGATCTGTGAACTTCTCACACAATGCAGCCTGGTTAGAGCCAGCATCGGTCACGTGGGCATGCCGGCGGGAATGTTTGGAACCGGCGGAGATGTTCCATGAGAGGGGGGTCCACGTCTCACACGCTGAGAGAAGGGACGCTTTCACACACTCTTTCTAGAGAAACACTCTCTCTCTAGAGAAACACTCTCTAGAGAAACACTCTCACACACTCTCACACACTCTCATACTCTCACACTCTCGAGAGAAACACTCTCTAGAGAAACACTGTCTAGAGAAACACTCTCACACACTCTCACACTCTCTAGAGAAACACTCACACACTCTCACTCTCTCACACTCTCTAGAGAAACACTCTCACACACTCTCACTCTCTCACACTCTCTAGAGAAACACTCTCTCACACTCTCTCACACTCTCACACACTCTCTAGAGAAACACTCTCACACTCTCTAGAGAAACACGCTCACACTCTCTCACACTCTCTAGAGAAACACTCTCTCACACTCTCTCACACTCTCACAGAACTCTCCGGCCATGCCCCCCCCCCCCCCCGTGTTCTCAAATTACATCAATTTCCATGCAAATCCGCCTCCCCTCGTGTACGCGCCTCGCCACGACCCCTGGGCACACACTCAACCCCCCCCCACATCAACACAGCCGACTTAGCCCCCCCCCCACATCCCCCCCCCCATCAACACAGCCGACTTAGCCCCCCCCCCACATCCCCCCCCCCCCCATCAACACAGCCGACTTAGCCCCCCCCACATCCCCCCCCCCCCATTAACACAGCAGACTTAGCCCCCCCCCGCCCTACTCACCCCCCCACCTCACATCGCCGTGTCTCCCTGTCTCACCGTGTCCCATCATGTCTCCCCTGTCTGCCTCTGTCTGTGTCGCGGTGTCTCTCTGTATCTGTGTGTGTGTCCCCGTCTCTCCCTGTCTCTCTCTCCCGTATCTCCCTGTCTCTCTGTCTGTGTCCCCGTGTCTCCCTGTGTCTCTGTCTGTGTGTGTCCCCGTGTCTCCCTGTCTCTCTGTCTGTGTCCCCGTGTCTTCCTGTGTGTCCCCGTCTCTCCCTGTCTCTCTCTCTCCCATGTCTCCCTGTGTCTCTGTGTGTGTCTCCGTGTCTCCCTGTGTCTCTGTGTGTGTCCCCGTGTCTCCCTGTGTGTGTATGTGTCCTCGTGTCTCTCTGTGTGTGTCCGTCTCTCCCTGTCTCTCTCTCCCGTGTCTCCCTGTGTCTCTGTGTGTGTCTCCGTGTCTCCCTGTGTCTCTGTGCGTGTCCCCGTGTCTCCCTGTGTTTGTGTGTCCCCGTCTCTCCCTGTCTCTCTCTCTCCCGTGTCTCCCTGTGTGTGTCTGTGTCCTCGTGTCTCCCTGTGTTTGTGTGTCCCCGTCTCTCCCTGTCTCTCTCTCTCGTGTCTCCCTGTGTTTGTGTGTCCCCGTCTCTCCCTGTCTCTCTCTCTCCCGTGTCTCCCTGTGTGTGTCTGTGTCCTCGTGTCTCCCTGTGTTTGTGTGTCCCCGTCTCTCCCTGTCTCTCTCTCTCTCGTGTCTCCCTGTGTCTGTGTGTGTGTCCCCGTGTCTCCCTGTTTCTCTCTCTCCCGTGTCTCCCTGTGTGTGTCTGTGTCCTCGTGTCTCCCTGTGTTTGTGTGTCCCCGTCTCTCCCTGTCTCTCTCTCTCGTGTCTCCCTGTGTCTGTGTGTGTGTCCCCGTGTCTCCCTGTGTCTCTGTGTGTGTCCCCCCCCATGTTTCATCCACCCCCGTGTCTCACCCATCCGCGTGTCTCTCTGTATCAATGCATCTCCGTGTTTGACTGTCAACCCCCGTGTCTTGCCACGTCCCTCTGCCTCTCCAGGTCCTCGGATGTCGCCCTGTCTCCCCGCGTCCACCCTGTCTCCCCACGTCCACCCTGTCTCCCCACGTCCACCCTGTCCCTGTCTCTCTGTGTCACCGCGTCCCCGTGTGTCTCTCTCTGTCTCACCATGTCCCCACGTGTCTCACCGTGTCTCACCACGTGTCTCGCCGTGTCCCCCGTGTCTCCCCGTGTGTCTCTCTCTGTCTCACCGTGTCTCCCCGTGTCTCACCGTGTCTCCCCGTGTCTCACCGTGTCTCACCGTGTCTCCCCGCGTGTCTCACCGTGTCTCACCGTGTCCCACGTGTCTCACCGTGTCTCACCGTGTCTCATCACGTGTCTCACCGTGTCTCCCCGCGTGTCTCACCGTGTCTCCCCGCGTGTCTCACCGTGTGTCTCACCACGTGTCTCACCACGTGTCTCCCCGCGTGTCTCACCGTGTCTCACCGTGTCCCACGTGTCTCACCGTGTCTCCCCGTGTCTCACCGTGTCTCACCACGTGTCTCACCGTGTCTCACCACGTGTCTCACCACGTGTCTCCCCGTGTCTCACCGTGTCTCACCACGTGTCTCACCACGTGTCTCACCGTGTCTCCCCACGTGTCTCACCACGTGTCTCACCGTGTCTCCCCACGTGTCTCACCACGTGTCTCACCGTGTCTCCCCACCTGTCTCACCACGTGTTTCCCCGTATCTCACCGTGTCTCACCGTGTTCCCCGCGTGTCTCACCGTGTCTCCCCACCTGTCTCACCACGTGTCTCCCCCCGTGTCTCACCACGTGTCTCCCCCCGTGTCTCACCACGTGTCTCCCCACGTGTCCCGCCCATCGTCGTGTCTCTGCAGAGATCCCGGATGATCCGGCCCTGGCTGAGATTCTGTATGAGGACGACTTCGAGGTGGACAGCGACGACACCAACAGCACGGACGACGACGACGACGATGAGTCCACCACAAACGTACGCTGACCCAGCGACACACACAGAGACACACACAGTGACACACACACAGTGACACACACACAGTGACACACAGTGACACACACACACAGTGACACACACACAGTGACACACACAGTGAAACACACACACAGCGACACACACACACACACACAGTGACACACACAGTAACACACACAGTGACACACACACAGTAACACACACAGTGACACACACACAGTGACACACACACACAGTGACACAGACACACAGTGACACACACAGTGACACACACACACAGTGACACACACACACAGTGACACACACACAGTGACACACACAGTGACACACTCACATACAGTGACACACACACACAGTGACACACACAGTGACACACACACACCAGTGTACCAACTGCCCTATGGGTGTCAATGCACGTGTCACTGTGTGTGGCGCCCACGATCCATCCTGGGTTTGACCAGCAGGCTGGACTGTGTGAGGAGCTCACAAATCCTTGAGAGATCTGGACGCGTTCCCATCGGTGAGCTCCTCCGGCAGGCAAGGCTGCGCTGGCTGGGTCATGTAGCCCGCATGTCTGTCACCATGTGTGTCACCGATCGCGTCACTGATCGTGTCACCGCGTGTGTCACCGTGTGTGTCACCTTGTGTGTCACCGTGTGTGTCACCTTGTGTGTCACCGTGTGTGTCACCGTGCGCGTCACCGCGTGTGTCACCGTGTGTGTCACCGTGTGTGTATCACCGCGTGTGTGTTACTGATCGTGTCACCGATCGCGTCACTGATCGCGTCACCGCGTGTGTCACCATGTGTGTCACCATGTGTGTCACAGTGCGCGTCACCGCGTGTGTCACCGCGTGTGTCACTGTGTGTGTCACCGTGTGTGCGTCACTGATCTCATCACCGCGCGTGTGTCACCACGTGTGTGTTGCTGATCTCGTCACCGCGTGTGTGTCACCGCGTGTGTGTCACCGTGTCACAGGACAGCGACGTGAGGGATCTGCTCCGCTGCTTCCACGCCGTGGTGGACGCGGCGGGCGACGACGGCTCCCAGCGCTAGCAGCAGCGCCAGCAGCTGCCCCGTGGGCATCGGGGGTCTCTCCCGACGTCGCAACGCGAGCCTGGACACACCGCCACCGCCGCCGTCACCACAGTCCCCGTCACCGCCGCCGTCAGCCACCACTGCCGTCGTCACTGCCGCCACCGTCACCACCACAGTCACCACTGCTGTCACCACCGTCACCATCACCACCGTCACCGCCGCCGTCACCACCACCACCGTCACCACTGCTGTCACCACCGTCACCGCCGCCGTCACCACCACCACCATCACCACCGTCACCGCCGCCGTCACCACCACCGTCACCGCCGCCGTCACCACCACCACCATCACCACCGTCACCGCCGCCGTCACCACCACCGTCACCACTGCTGTCACCACCGTCACCGCCGCCGTCACCACCACCACCATCACCACCGTCACCACCACCACCGTCACCACCACCACCGTCACCACCACCACCGTCACCACCACCACCGTCACCACCACCGCCACCGCCGTGGCAGGAGTCGTCCTCTCCCACCGAGCGCGGTGGAGAGAAGTGGCCGTGGCCGACTGGCTCAAGGGCAGCTGAAGAACAAAGCGTGGAAATTGAACCGATCGCCGTCAAGCGCCACCAGCAGCAGCAGCATCATCAGCAGCAGCACCAGCAGCACCAGCGGCAGCACCAGCAGCACCAACAGGAGCAGCAGCACCAGCACCAGCAGCAGAAGTAGCAGAAGTAGCACCAGCAGCAGTAGCAGCAGCAGCAACAGCTGCAGCAGCAGCAATAGCTGCAGCACCAGCAGCAGTAGCAGCAGCTGCAGCAGCAACAGCAGCAGCAGTAGCAGCAGCTGCAGCAGCAGCAACAACAGCATCAGCACCAGCAGGAGCAGCAGCAGCAGCATCAGCAGCAGCAGCAGCAGTAGTAGCAGCATCAGCACCAGCAGGAGCAGCAGCAGCAGTGGCGGCGGCAGCAGCAGTAGCAGCAGCAGTAGCACCAGTAGCAGTAGCAGCAGCAGTAGTAGCACCACCAGTAGCAGCACCAGCAGGAGCAGCAGCAGCAGCAGTAGTAGCAGCAGCAGCAACAGCAGCATCAGCACCAGCAGGAGCAGCAGCAGCAGCCGCGGCAGTAGCAGCAGCAGGAGCAGCAGCAGAAGCAGCAGCAGTAGCACCAGCAGCAGCAGCAGTAGTAGCACCACCAGTAGCAGCAGCAGCAGTAGCAGCAGCAGCAGTAGCAGCAGCAACTAGCACAGCGAATTTGGCCACGATGCGGCCGGCGCTGCCGCCCAGGAACTGGGCCTCTCATCCCACCGGCGTGCAGGGGAGCTGATGCTGCTGCTGCTGCTGCTGATGATGCTGCTGATGATGATGCTGCTGATGATGATGCTGCTGATGATGATCATCGCTGAGCTCCGCGGTCATCATCGTCCGTGATGGGCAGCCGAAGATATTTTACAAAATATATATATGTTCATTCACGGGTCTCTGTGTGAGTCTGTGGGTCTCTGTGTGAGTCTATGGGTCTCTGTGTAAGTCTGTGGGTTTCTGTGTGAGTCTATGGGTCTCTGTGTAAGTCTGTGGGTCTCTGTGTGAGTCTATGGGTCTCTGTGTGAGTCTATGGGTCTTCTGTGTGAGTCTATGGGTCTCTGTGTAAGTCTGTGGGTTTCTGTGTGAGTCTATGGGTCTCTGTGTAAGTCTGTGGGTCTCTGTGTGAGTCTATGGGTCTCTGTGTGAGTCTATGGGTCTCTGTGTGAGTCTGTGGGTCTCTGTGTGTGTGTCTATGGGTCTCTGTGTGAGTCTGTAGGTCCTTGTGTGAGTCTGTGGGTCTCTGTGTAAGTCTATGGGTCTCTGTGTGAGTCTATGGGTCTCTGTGTGAGTCTATGGGTCTCTGTGTAAGTCTGTGGGTCTCTGTGTGAGTCTATGGGTCTCTGTGTGAGTATGTGGGTCTCTGTGTGAGTCTGTGGGTCTCTGTGTGAGTCTGTGGGTCTCTGTGTGAGTCTATGGGTCTGTGTGAGTTTGTGGGTCTCTGTGTGAGGCTATGGGTCTCTGTGTGAGTCTGTGTGTCTCTGTGTTAGTCTGTGTGTCTCTGTGTTAGTCTGTGTGTCTCTGTGTGAGACTGTGGGTCTCTGTGTGAATCTGTGGGTCTCTGTGTGTGTGCCTACGGGTCTCTATGTTACAGATTTGACGTCACAGCTCACTTGCCGTGCAAAAAATAAATGCATTATTGAGCTCCCCAACCCCCCCCCCCCCCCCCCAAATTTGTTA